TCCAGCAGGTTCAATTAATCCGTTCTTCAGTCATCTTGCTGGTGGACCTTACTCCCTAGGCAGAGACCTGGTAAATTCACTGTGGTCAAGCCTGTGTACAGAAAACTGTAAGATTAGGTCCTAAGTGGATTATTAGATTGGATTATTAGACATAAGTTAAAAAAGCTAGAAATGTAAAAATAGTAGTTTTCTTGCTGGGAGAAAAATTAAATACTGAAGATGTGTGTGGGATATTATTAGCTCAGTGCTAGCACAGGTGATATAATATGAATAAACGTAGTTTAGCTGCCAGAGGGAGTTTTGTGGCCTTTGTTGGCCTGAACTGTGTACAGTTGGGCAATCTCTTTGTCATAGTTTTATCTTTTTTTTTTTCTTTTTTTTTTTTTTTTTTCAGCTTGAAGATAAATGATCTTTGCAGCTTTGCATTAATTTGATCACATCTCCTAAAGCTTTAACAATTTAGCTTTGAAGGTCAGGAAATGCCTTGTACTTCCACTCAAGAATATAATGTTGCTGCCAGATACACTTTTAGTTTAGTTCAGCATTCTGTAATCAGGAGGTAACTAAGTCACTTTTGTAGCTTGATGCAGTTATACTTTACATAGATGCAAGCCTAGTGCTTGTTCCTTGACTGCTGTACTGATTCCTGAGCCCAGCTCCACCGAACTATGTTTCTTGTAAGAATTGCAAGGCTTTCAGGACTTTACAGTATAGATTAATGTATTCCCTTCCCTGGGATCACACAGGTGTATCTTTTCTAATTACTTTCTGTCTGCTTCAGGTGTTTTGAGTGTTGTGTCATCAGTCTTGTCCAGTATTGGCAATAATAAGTAGCTTAGTCAAAAGATAGGAATACTTTCAAGATTTTAGCCCTATTTTAGAACAAATTCAGGTTTAGAGAATCAGACTGGACAATTTAAGACCAAACTATTTTAAACTACTGAAAATGATCTGATTAATGAGATCCTAGATCCTAACGTACACTTGTCTAGAAGCATATGGAATAATCTCACTTGCTCGGGCTGTGATATGTGCTACCAATGGCTCAGTTGCCAAGGTAGATAAAATTAAATAACAAATCTCTACTTGGCTGTTCCTATTCTTATTGGTTATCTGTGGTTATGGTATACTATTTGTGTGATATCGACTTGATGGTCAAGCTCCAGATGCAAGGCAAACTTGTTGACTTTACAAAGCTCGAGTAAAATCAACTAAATATGTCACAAATACTTGCAGCAGAGGAGATCAAAAGAGGGTGAGAAAAAGTTAGACAAGAAAAGGTATAATGGAGATGACTCTTCTGTCAGAATTGTGAACAGGACTTCATTCCAGACCTCCCAAAGCAGCAGCGATTCCATGAAGCCAGGTACAAATATGTTGTTTAGTTAGAAATATATCAAATAGATGTAAAATGGTTGACTGTGTTATAGCCTCCAGTATGTTACCATGTTTTTGAATCTGGAAAAATTAAGAAACAGTATTTCTTTCCTGTATGTCTTTCTTACAAGGGATAGTGTCTTTGTTCATATCTTTTCACTGATTGAACATGTAAACTGCTAAAAAAAATTTCCTAAGTTAGATCTGAATTTACAGTTGCTTGCTGAGTCAGTTCTGTGTATACACTTTATTTATAATTGCTAGGTTATTTTCTTAGCATGAGCTGTGTGTACCAATAGTTCTTGTGATTATTACTATAGTTATGTCAATTAGTGTACTATAAATCATACCTAGAAATTACTGCAAGCAATTTTTATTATTTAGACTTTACATGCTTTATTCAGACAGGTCCAATAAAACTACAAACAGGAAGTCAACCCAAACTCCAAAATCAGAGTCTCTTCCTTTACCCACATTTGAAGCTACTGTTCTGGATTTCCACAAGTCACAAAATTTGGGAAGCAGTGAGATACTCAATGCACAGCATAAAAGTGGACAGATATGTTCAGCGGAAAGTAACATTGCGTGCCTTAGTCAACCACAGATGTCTCTTTTGTTGAACACAGAGGTTAGCTAATGCTTTCATGTTGCAGAACTTGTAAAATTTGTTTAAAGCTTTCTTAATGCAAGTATTTTACATTTATTGTGGTAGTTCAAAACCTATTTATGTACTGTGCAAGCAAGGAAATTCATAGCTAGAGGTTTTATGGTTTTTTTTATAGATGGTGGTGTCAGTGCTTGCTGTATCCTCTTTTATCCCTTCTCACTACTCTTTCGTTGTCTGTGTTGCCAGTAGATAGGGGAAAGCCAAGTACTGTTAGAATTTAGATTGGTACTGCTATGGCTTAGACTTCTAGCTTTCCTGTACATGGCATGTGTATTCCTGAGGTTTCTCAGCAGTTTCTTGTTTTCTGTCTTGCCTGGAAATAGGTAAGCAGTCACTTTTCCAGTAGCTTTAACAGATTAAAAAATAAAGTCTGGAATGTTGTACTTAATTGCTTTGTGCTAAGGCACAAAAGTTAAAAATAAAAAACTGAATTCCAGAAGGAAGAAAAAATATTATTAAGACATAAGCATTTAATTTTACTCTTTCTGATTTCCTTGATTCCCTCTTTGTTAGTAAGTACAATACTGACATGTTCAGCAGTATGTCACATATATTGAATCAGAATTTTCAAGAATGATAGAAGATGAATAGTTGTGAAGAGGCCAAACAGCATAATATTTCCATTGCCTTTCAGTGAAACACTGCCTATGTTGGAAAAAATACTTTTTCTGCAGTAATTTGGTGTTTGTTTTCAGTGCTAGTTTGAATTTGATGATGGACTTTGTTTTTAATGTACTTGGGACATTAGAAGTTTTTCTTCTTTGTTCTTAGAATCTTGTTTGGATGTTTTTGTAAAATATAAGAAAATCTTGCCTGGAAAGCAGTAGACACAACTGCTTGTATTTTGTAATGCTGTAGCATCGAAATGATGTAAGTAACAACAAAAAAATTCAGGCTACAGAATTCCCTTCATCTGTGCACAAGTTGATGGGTTGTTAATTTATTTCTGTTTAGCTCAGTGGTTTTATTCCTACTTTTATGATACCTGATTGTCTTTTATAGGAAGATACTTCAGTGGAAAGCAAAGTTTCATCCAAGCCTTTAGATGAACCAGCAGCCAGCTTAATTTCATCTTCATTTGATGCTAGAGGTAAGTACTTCAGGCACAAATTATTTCCCTGTATTTTAACTGCTTACATCTGGAAAGGTAAGGTGTTCTGTGGAGCTGTTGATGTGTAAATTTAAAAAGGAATTAAACAGCAAGCTCATTGCAAAAGAAAAAAAGTCAGACAAAGGTCTGCCAGTTTCACTTACAGCTTATTCTTCTAGATTTGATCAGCAGATCCAAAATGGTATTATCTTCCTTCTCTGTTGTTTCTTTGGTATTCAACAGCAAATATTACCTTAATTACTTTCCATGTTGTTTAAGGTGAGAGAAAGTAAGGCATATTGATTATTGAAACTCCGAGTTATTTTCAGATTTTTTTTCAAGAACAAATTAAATTAAATTAATATTTTATGAGTCTTGATAAAGAGTTTTGTTTTACATAGATGGCAGTCTATAGAGTCTAGTACGTACCTAATTCTGTGGCAAATGTTATTTCTGTCAAGTCTGTTAAAGAAGGATAACTGTTGAGAACTGTGATGCAGAAATACCCCCATAGCATTTTGTGGTGGGTTGATTTTGGCTTATGGCCCAGCTGCTCTCTCACTCTCCCTCCTCAGCAGGACAGGAGGAGAAAATAAAAAGCTTGTGGGTCAAGATAAGGACAGGCAGGTTGCTCACCAGTTGCTCATTACGGGCAAAGCAGTCTAAACTTATTCATTTGTTGCCAATAAAAAGTAGAATAGGATGGTGAGAAACAAAATAAAAATTAAAATCACTTTCCCCTCACCCTCTCTTCTTCCCAGGCTCATCTGCACTCTCTCACTCCTGATTCCTCTACCTGCTTCATGCCCTGAATGGCACAGGGGGTTGCAGTCAGATCATAAATAGCTCCTCTGTACTGCTCCTTCCTCTGCAGAAGGACAGCCTTCTCCTGGGGCTGCAGTGGAATCTCTGCTTCAGCACCTGAAGTACCTTCTCCCCTTCCTTCTTCACTGACCATGGTGTCTACAGGGTTGTTGCTCTCCCATTTTTTCTTAAACCTGCACAGCGTTTTTACCCTTAAATATGTTATCATGTAGGTGCTGCCAGCATCACTGATGGGGTCAACTATGTCTGGCAGTAGGTCTCTTTTTAAGCTGACTGGGACTGGTTGTTTCTGTCTTCTCACAGAGGTTGCTCCTGCAGCCTCCCCCTGCTACCCAGACCTTGCTGTGTAAACCCATTATGCTATTTAATTGCTAAGTGAAAATTTTTCTCATTCTTGAAGAAAAAGTCAGATTTTGTTCTTTATTTGCTGTGTGTTAGATGCATTTACAAAATTAATTGTGAGCTCTTTCAAAACATTGATACGTCTGAGTGGTACTGGGTAAAATTCTTGTACAATGAGGCACGTTAGAGCATCTTTCAGCTGGCACAAATGTCTGTAAAACTGGGAAGTTTATAGAAAGTAGAAGGAACTGATGTGGCCTTGTATTTAAAGCTGTATGACTGAGTGGGGTAAATATTAAGAGACTTTTGTATATAAATATAGCAGGAGTTCATTATTTTAAAGAAAAATAGCTTAGAAAATGAGCATAGGATTATTTGTGCATAATTAGTATGACACAGTATAGATTTCCAATTAGAATTTAATTGAGCTGTATGTATGTATATAGTGCAGGACAATATATGGAGCAGTTAATGTTCTAGGAGGGTATCTGGAGAAATGAAATGTGTGTCTTATTTCAGTCCTTCCTCAGAAGCAAAATGATTCTGCATATTTTCTAGTCCATGATTAATTAATTACTGATTCTTTTGATTTTAAATACTTGAGAAGTATTTTTGAAACATCTTTGTATCTTTTTTTCCCAATGAACATTTCCATGAACACCTGCAGGTGGCTCTTCTCAGCCACATTTATCTTGGGCTATGGTACTTACACAGCCCCCAAAGAAAAGTGTGTCCTCAACGGCATCCGAAACTCTTTCCAGAGGCAAAGGAAAGCAGGATAACAAAGCAAAGGTACTTGGGAATTACCCTCTTTTAACTAATTTCTCTCACAGTGTGAATGTGTCTCTTGATGTGAGGCATTGCTATTTTTAGTTAGGCTCTGTACAGAATGAGACATGAAACATGGAATGCTTGCTTTATTTGGGTAGATTTTGAAATCTCAATAGTCCTGATACAATCCAATAACCATGCAGTGTGCTTCAAGTTAAGAGGTTTAGCAGTAGCTCTGAATTTTTAAGAGATCTTGAATTTCCCATGTCCACTTAATGTCCTAGCATGGATTGAGATGCCCTTGTACAAGTGCATTTATTTTTGTGGGTGGTATTGAAGTAAATCAGTTTCTAATTTCATACCTAATTTTTTTCAGCAGTCAGAAGTAAAAAATTATGTTAGTGAAACAGAGCTTGAAGAAGGGTCAGAAAAAAAGAAAAAAAGGAAGAAAAAGAAGAAAAAAACAAAGTCACCCACTGGTGTGGAGAAACCTCAAAATGAATCTACTACAATGCAGGAACCACCAAGGATTGAGGTACAGTGAAGAGGTTTTTGTTGTTCTTGTTGTTTTGTTGTAAGAGTATTGCAAGACAAGATATTAACACAGTTTGTACGAATCTAAGTTTAAATTCTATGTGTAGAAGATACTGGTTCAGTCCATTTCAATTGAGATGTGTGTTAGAAATTACTGGTAGAGAACAGTTGTGCCTTTTGACTTGCCATGTATTCAGTGAGTAGAGAGGAGTGCAGAAGAGACTTGGGAGCAAGTTTCAACTGATGCATCTGAGAGTCTGGATGTTGACAGGTAATATTAAAAGTCAAATTTCCTAAATTAAAAATACTCACTAGTAACTTTTGCAGAAAGCTAAGTGTACGAGGGATAGGAAGGATACTGAGTACCATAGTGTGCTGTGATTCCATGATTTTAAAGAATGTGGTACTGGTGCTACAATTCCATCCATGTCACATCTGGAAGTAATTTCAATGAAACAGAGTTGTCGCTGCTTACATTCCTGAATTGTAGAATCATAGAATGGTTTGGGTTGGAAGGGACCTTAAAGACTTTGTAATTTCAACCATCCTGCCATGAGCAGGGACATCTCCCACTAGACCAGGTTGCTCAGAGCCCCATCCAACCTGCCCTCAAATACTTCCAAGGAGGAGGCATTCACAGCTTCCGTAGGGAACATGTTCGAGCATCTCACTGCTAAATAGTTTCTTCCTAATGTCTACCCAAATCTACTTTGCTCTAGTTTTAATCCATTACTCCTTGTTCTTGTAAAAAGTGTCTCCCCAGCTTTCATGCAGACCCCTTCAGATACTGAAAGGACACTATAAGGTCTCCATGGAGCCTTCGCTTCTCCTTGCTGAATAACCCCCACTCTCAGCCTATCTTCACAGGAGAGATGCTCCAGCCCACTCATCATTTTTGTGGCCCTCTTCTGGCCTTGCTTCTGCAGCTTCATGTCCTTCTTGTCTTGGGGACTGCTGAAGAACTGAACACGGTGTTCCAGGTGGGGTCTCACGAGAGCAGTGTAGAGGGAGAGGACCACCTCCCTTGATCTGCTGGTCACACTTCTTTCTCTGCAGCCTGGTACACAGTTGGCTTTCTGGGCTGCACATGCACATTGGTGGCTCATGTTGAGCTTCTCATTCACCATCACCCCCAAGTCCTCCTCTGGGCTGTTTTTGATCCACTCTCCACCAGTCTCTGTTTGTTCTTGGGATTTCCCTGACCCCATGCTGCACTTGGCCTTGTTGAACTTCAGCTTCAATTCCATTTTTTTTTCAAATCCATGTAGCTGCAATATGCATATTAGTGTTCTATTAGTATTTTGATACTTCTGTGTCTCAAGATCACGAAAGTTTTAGGCTCTCCCACATGAGGGAATTTTTTCTTGGTCCATGGTTTAGCAGTGCTTCGCTGAAGGTGCAGTATTGTACAGCACTATGTACAGTGTTGCTTTATGTGTTTGATCTAGGGTACATAATGTTCACTTTGTGAAATGACAGCATAAAGAAGCCTTCCTAGGAGGATCCTGCTCCGTACATTTTAACACGGAGAAGAACTGTAACTAAATGTTCTTTTCAGTGCATTGTTCATTGTCCTGGACTAGTACAATAAATGTTTACAGATCTCTTTGTTAGGGAATTATGGGTAGAATCAAAGATTTGTGTGTTCTTTCCCTCATGAGAACATCCCCAAGTTTACTGTATGCTGTCATACAGTGTCTGACCTCTGAATGACCTATCTTCTAAACAGAGAATGACAGGAGTTATGGTGAATAGTAGGAAGGTAATGGGTCTGTTGGAGACAAAAATGGAAAATACTGCATAGAATCAGGGAGCAGGATACATAGATTTCACTGAATTCAGTGATGTGGATGCAGCATCTGTTGTGGCGGTGATGGACAGCTTTCAGACCCTCCTGGTTTGTTGGAAATGTTTGTGTGCTCATCAGCTCGAAGAATGGGTGAAAACACTTGTATGATGCTCTTGAAATACCAGAACATGAAAGCATTGTCCACACAACACTTCTGGGCACCCAGGATATTTATGAAGGTTCTGCAACGTTCAGCAGCTCACAGGAGCAGTATACTGGGTTACTTACTAGCTTTGTGAAAGCCAGTGTTGTAGACACTCTTAAAGAGCATAAATGGATGCATTTGATGAAGAGTAATCTTTTTGTTCCATATAAAGTGATATGCTGCAAGCTAGGTATTTTCCCTGCGGGGAACAAGATTAAAGCTGCTGTTGATAACCATGTCAGTGCTGGTACTACTGGTCAAACATGCAAACAGTGGTGATAATTATTAGGAAAATAGAAAATAAAATGGATTATGACAATACATAAATCCAGGATGTGTCCAATATAAATATAGTGTGGATTTTGTTTCCTCCACTTCTAAAACAATAGGCATATGTGAACTGAAAAAAGACAAAAGGCTCCAAAAATAATCAAAGCTATGAAGCAATTTTTGTGGGATGCAAGACTTAATAAACTAGGGCTTCAGAGTCTGTAAAAAGAAAGGCTAAATGGGAATCAGAAGTTACATAGGCCACATAATTTCTTTTTGTATTTCTTTCTCCTAAGTTTGTCCTCTAGTTCTTGTAGGTGATGAGTTAAGATGTACAAGGAGGTGTAACATCACAGCAAGTGCTAGATTTTAATTACTCATTTGCTACGGGGTATTGCAAATGGCAGAAGTTTATTTTAATTCAAGAAATGACTGGACAGATTAAAATTAAAATATAGTTGAGTGAGGGCTATTTAAATGCAAAGGTACTACCTCTGGTTTAAGAAGTGCTTAAGCTGGAAGAGTGTTTGTGAAACATTTTTTCCTTTCTTTCAGTAGTCTTTTGGCATTCTTCCAAGCTTCTTTAAAAATAATTAATTGGGTGAGGTGGGTCTGCCCTTAGGCTAGAGCCTCCTAGCTTGGACCATTTAAATGAAGTCTTCTGGGCTGCAAAAGAAGTGTTGGTGTGTTTAGTAGTACTGTATCACAACTAAAAAGGCCTTTCAGGAAGTGGAAGGAGAAGCAATTTAATGACAACCAAGCTGATGGATCAGGATCATTATAACTGAGATGGTGAATATAAGGTGACCAGCACAGAACAAGCTCCAACCTGTCTGCACTTTGTTTATCTAGAGTCTGGATAACATATTGTCTGCTGATGAAATTTATTCTTGTGTCTAAGCCTGCGTAGTCACTGAAGTATTTTATATGTTTTTTTCCATACTGTAGTGAAGAGTTATTACCCTTTTGCCTGCCCTTTTTTTTCTTTACCAGTCATGTGTTGAAGGTGGAATTGCACAGCTGGAGACTACTGGAAGAAGAAGGTTGTTGTTTGCAAGGCTGTTAAATGATTTACTTCTAATTACTTGCATCAGCTAACAGCAATAACAACCTGCTGTTCAAAGCTTTCTCTTGTAAGCTCTTTCAGCCCTGAATTAACCTCCTCACAGATCACTTAGCCATTGTAGTGCTGGTTACAGTTGTTGGCACTGCCATTGGTTTCTGAAATTTTGTACACTGAACCAAGTAACGATTAATATTTGATAAGTAGGGAGAAAACTGGAATGTACGATAACTCAGCTTTGAGAATGTGGAGTTGATAGTTCTTTTAAAAAAATTTTCTCTGATTAATTTGTTTAGGATGCTGAGGAGTTTCCTGATCTGGCAGCTGCTTCTGATAGGAGAAGCAGACTGGGATCTCAGAAATCATTTACTCCTGCTGTCTTAAAGCAGTCTGAAGTAAGTAATCTTACAACATTATGTTGGTTAAGAAAGGTTAAGAAAATAAGCAGGAAAGGACTGAAAGTTTTAAATTGAGTTGAGGTGAAATTCTCTTGATTAAATGTAACTTCTTATGATGGGCTCTGCCCATGGCAGTGTCCTTAGTTATTCTGTGGACAGTGAAGAGTTACTCACTGTATTCAGTATCAAAAGAGATGTTTTTCTGGTCTCCAAACAATGCCAAAACTCTGGGCTACTAATGTCAATATAGACACCTCTGCTGCAGATGCTTGAAGTTAGTTGCAGTGATCTCTCTTTATATAAGTTTATTTTCTTACAGGTAGTGTTGTGGTTTAATTTTGCATTTCATAAAAGTAATAATATGACACTTTCAATTTTGGCTGTTTTTGCTGTTCATTTATATAATAAAATTTCAGGGTTATCTGAGCAGTGCTTAAGTTTTTTCTCAAGTTGTGCAAGGGTGATAATTTAAGTCTAACATCAATCATAAATTCAAGCTTTTTTTTTACATAAGTGAAATGAATCCTAGAGACTTATGTGGAAATTAATTCAATATGGGAATGAATCCCAAACATAAATCACAAGAATTGTAAATATGATTGCTCTCGCAAAGCAAATAACAAGGGTGAAATTCCACATTTCTGTTTCTTTGAAGCTAGTTTTGCTGGTAGAAATTTTTGTCCTTCATTTGGTTTCATTACAAATATAGTGGTTTGGAAAAAAACAAATGAAGAAACAAACACAAACAGCCCACAAAAATCCAAACCGTTTTTTTGTTTTGAGGCATTAAATTGCATTGACAGGGAAGAATGAGCAGCAAGAGGCACAGTAATTGCTCAAACCAGTTCTGCTACAAAGAAAGTGTCATACAAATTTGAATTTCATACAAGAGAAACCTTGTAGCTTTGTAGGCATAAGTGGGATATAACCTCTCAAAGCTTACGTAAGTTGTAGAGATGTGATCATTAAGTCACCCGCATTCTTCTGTAATAAATAGTCAAAGATGAAGCTGCACTGCTGTTTTGTTTTCTTCAAAATCTGAAAAAAAAAAAAAAGAAATTATGATAAAGTAGTATGGCAGGAAATTATTGCACTTTTAGAAGTCTGCAATAAAGTGTTCCCAGAGCCTTCTCTTCTCCAGGCTGTACAGCCTCTCTGCCTTTTATCATAGTAGAGGTGTTCAATCTCTCTGATAATTTTTGTGGCCCTCCTCTGGAATTGCTTCAACAGATTCACGTCTTCCCTGTGTTGGGGACCCCAGAGCTGGATGCAGTACTCCAAGTGGGGTGTCACCAGAGCAGAGTAGCAGGGTGGAATTTGCCTCCCTCAACCTGTTGGCCACACTTCTTTTTACACAGCCCAGGATACAACTGGCTTTCTGGGCTGTGAGCACACATTGCAGGGTCATGTCCAGTTTTTCATTCACCAATACCCCCAAGCCCTTCTCCTCAGGGCTCCTTTCAATGCATTCTTCCTCCAATTAGTATTGGCGATTGCCCTAATCCAGATGCAGAGTCTTGCAGTTGGCTTTGGTGAATTTAATGAGGTTCACACAGGCCCACTCCTTAAGGCTGTCCAGGTTGCTTTGGGTGATATTACTTCCCTAAAGCATATGAACTGTACTGCTCAGCTTTGTGTCATTGACAGAGTTGTTGAGGGTGCATTCAATCCCCCTGTCTATGTTCTATTTGAATTTAAGGCCATCTTCACTTTAGCCTTTTCCATTTGTCTTTAAATTATTTTGCTTCCTCATTGTCACCTTTTATCTCTAAATTTCAAAGCTCCATCTTCCCAAAGAGCCTTTGGATAATTGGTCTCTCAAACTAGATGGAACTCCCAAGATGGATGGACTGTCAGGAAAGCAATCTTTATCTTCTGTATTAGAAAGAAAGAAGACACAGGTAAATGAATTCATATTTGAAAATAAGTTTGCAACTTAAAATGACAAAGGAAGTTAGCACATATAGATGTATATCCAGGCTTGTCTGTGATTGTATTCATACTTCGACATTCATAATTTGAGATAAGTGACAAGATCCTCTTTATTAGAAGCACTCAATGGTAGTAATTGTTAGCCACCGTTTGTGATGCAGTGTTTAGGGAAAAGTACTAGGTTTTCATTAATGTCTGTGAGTTTCAAGTATCATTAATGTTTTTCACCTGTCTTATTTGATCATGGCATAAATCCAGTCCATACTGATTGTCTTGAGTAGTTGGGAACCTCTTAGCTTGAGGAAAGGAGAAGAAATATGGAGGAACAATGAAGTCAATAAGTACTGCCATGTTGGTGAGTAGGTTCTGGCATAGCTCTGATGCAAATGAGATCCTAGGTTCAAAAGAAGCAGGTCATGTTCCTTAACCCAACTGTAACAAAGCTGTAATTAATTGATCCTCCAGGGTAAGACTTCTGAAAGTACAAAGACCCGTGAGTCGTTTCCTTAGCGTGTTCTGCCATCATAGTTTGCCCCTTCATAGTCTTTGCTGGACTATTCATTTGTAGTATTTTTATATTCTGAATCATTTAATGTGGTGCCAAGTATGGGACATCACTTTGCCTTCACATCAAAACAGACAGAAAGATTATTGCTTATGAGGAGATAGTGCTTAAGGATAATTACCTCCCTTTTTAATAAGGCATTGACAATCATGATATCTGTGTATTGCAGTCATATACCCTGGAAGATTCAGAGTAGTTTTTCGGTACTTGTAACAAAACTTTCAATTCTAGAAGACTTTTTTCTTTTTCAGAGATAGGTGGCAGTCTGATCAAAGTGGGAGCCTGACATAAAGCACCTCGTTTATTAAAGACTTCATAGATTTATGCTTTATTCCCCAAACTATTTGAAAGTTATTTGAACTGTTTCTGATTTTTTATTTTCCACAGGAAAGTTGATTTAATTTAAAGACCAAAATACTTTAATTGAATTAAGTTAAAAATTTAAAGGATCGTGGATGAAGATGTTGAGTGTATTATACACCATACAAAATAAAGTCTTTACGTTCTGACTTGAAGAGCATTACTAATTGGTGCTGAATTTGTTCAGAAAACATCCAAAATAAAGTTTTTACATCCTGACTTTAAGAGCATTACTAATTGATGCTGAATTTGTTCAGGAAACATCCAGGAACAGTGGTAAGAAGAGTCAAATTCCTGTGCAGTTGGATTTGGGTGGCATGCTTGCAGTTCTGGAGCAGAAACAGCAAACAGAGAAGTCAAAACAGTCTTCTAAACCTGTGGTATTTTCAGGTATTGGTTACAATGATAATTCCTTTCTTCCAACTTGAGTTCTTTTTAAATAATAAAACTTTAAATGTGTACCAATTTCCAGTCTGTAATCATCTGTGAATATGGAGGCAGGAGCACTGTTCTCAAGATTCAAGAGAAGATGAAAGTTCTTTAAAAAAAAAAATACTGAAAAGCATGGCAGTCTGAGTTGTTTGGAGGAACACTTGGGAAAAAGAAAAAATTTCAGGACAATGAATTGTAAATGAGTACCTTTTATAAATATAAATTACTGAAATTTAGCTTAGATGAAAATACTAATGTTTGTAGAGGCTTTTGCTTTGTGTTAAAAGCCTGTGTTACTCTGGTGTGAACCTGCGGCAAGCAGCTTCATGGTAACAAAGGCTTTCTTAAGCTCTGCTGATGCTAGAAGTCCTAGAGCTGTAACTTGAGTGAAAAAGCTCATTCAGGGCTACACAAGGGTCATATATGAGTGTCAATCAGCCGAAGCCAGTGGGTGAGTTCTGCCATGCTTTGTAATTGTGAAATAACTACTGTTAATGAAATCCTAGGTTTTGGTGGATTGGACACTTTCAGACCTTGTGGATGCATAACCAGCAGGCAGAAGCAAATATCAGTGTCATTTTCATTGTAGGCCAAAATTTAGCCTTGGCTATGTTAATGCAGTATATTTTGCAAAGGGGAAACTATGTTTGCTGGAATTTAATGATGATAAAATTTCTCTCCTTATTTCATTCAAAATATTTAAATAATTATTTTTGAAAGAGAGTTAATCACAATATAATTAATCTCACAATGTGTACAGTGATAGTTGAGCTTTTCAAGCATTTATGAGATTTTCTTTCACTTACCGAGAAAACTTTTAACATGCTTTTTAAAATTCTTTTCATAGAATCATAGAAGCATTCAGGTTTTAAAAGACCCTGGGGATCACCAAGTCCAACCATCATCCCTACTCTACAAAGTTCTCCCCTAAGCCATATCCACCAACACTGCATCCAAACAACCCTTAAACACATCCAGGGATGGTCACTCAACCACCTCCCTGGCCAGCCTATTCCAGTGTCTAACCACTCTCTGTGAAGAAATTTTTCCTAATGTCCAGTCTGAACTTACCCTGTTGCAGCCTGAAGCCGTTCCCTCTTGTTCTGTCGCTAATTACCTGTGAGAAGAGACCAGCACCAACCTCTCTACAGTGACCTTTCAAGTAGTTGTAGAGACTGATGAGGTCTCCCCTCAGCCTGCTCTTCCTCAAACTAAACATTCCCAGCTCCTTCAAGTGTTCTTCATAAGATTTTTTCTCTAGGCCCTCCTCTGTACTCATTCCAGCACCTCAGTATCTCTCTTGAATTGAGGTGCCTAAAACTGGATGCTGCAATTTTTTTTATTTATTTTTTTTTCCCTGCAATTATGGTTTGTTTTTCATTTGAGTCAGTCAAACTCAATCCTGCAGAGGACTGATAAGTTTTAGCTGGCTAATAACCAGTTTTGTTTGTATAAAATTGTACAATTGGCAACTAGATGATGGAGCACAGAAGTATGGATCACAATACCTGTTTTCTAATATTAAATTGCCTGTGTCTGATTCTGCCGCAGAAGAGAAATATCACGTTCATATCCCGGAAGTATAACAGGTGTTACCTCTGCGCTTTTTTTTTTTTTCCCTTTTTTTTTTTTGCTTTTTTTTTTACATTCAGTGCACCCATTAAATTGGTGTTTTCCAAAATGTAACTTAGTTTGTGAAGTGTCATTGTGCTGACCTCTGTAACCAGAACAGAAGCACATTGAGCAAGAAGGGCTCTAAGGAGTGTGACTGCAGACAGTTATTTCATTTAATGTACTACTTCATTTGGTAAATAACGTATGGATGGTGCAGCATAGTAAAGCAGTAGTTATTTCAATTTATATTACATTTTGAAAATATGTCAACTGTGCAAAACAGCACACTGATAAATCAAGCCATGAAGTTCAGGAATGTGAGAATGCTGTGAAATTGAAATGAAAAGGTGATGCACACAATGAAGGAAATACCACATGTCTGCAGGATGTATGTGTATGTATTTCTTCAAATCCAGCTTCAGTTCTTGTAGCCACCTCTGCTAGCTTACTTCACAGTATGCTTGGCAGTGTTCTCAGATTGCCATTGTTACACAGAGAAAAAGTAAAGTTGCAGTGTAGCAATTTAAGGAAGGAAACTGTTTATGCTAATAGTACCTTAGTGGTGTTGGAGAATCAGCATATAATACTTTGGAAGCAGTAAATTAATATGGTTTAAGAAAAGCCACAAGAAGCTTTGGGTGGTTTTTAGAAAAATATTCCACTGATACTTAAGTCATCCTCTTCATTGACTTGCTAATGTAACCTTGTTTATATTGCAGGAAACTGAAGCTTCACTAAGCGCTCTCACATGATACAGCCATTTCTACTGATACCACTTGAAAAAAAAGGGTAGTTTTTGGGATGTGATGTGATGTAACAGGTCCAGGTTCAGTGACTTGGCCAGTCATTTTAAGCTTTTATTCTGTGAAGCCTCTCAACAATGCCAATAAAGTAGACAGCTCCAGAGACCTATGCTGGCTAAGCAATAGAGACTTAGCTGTAGCTTTGAATTACTGATTTCTCACCTACAAATGAACTTCATCCAGCTTCATTAACGTGTAACAAATAGTAGGAGTAAATGGTCCAGATTATTTACAGCAATTAAATCTAAAATCTGCAATACTGCCACTCAGGATTTATCTTATCGCAGTACAGAATCTGCAGCAGATGAAGTACCATTGCCGAGAAACGTGGACATTCTTGAAGGTTTAGCAAATTAGCATGGTGTGGTGTTGAAGGTAGCATGGAATACACTGTTGTGCCTTTGAGACTTCAGGGTCAGAGCTTGTAATTCTAGTTGTATCTTAAAAGACATGTCAATGTTTTTGGTTTAATAACATTGTTTAATGACATGGGATTACATATAAATATTCTTAATAGCAACACCACAGAAATTTAGTATGTGTACACTAGTCCTAATCCAGTCATTAAACTTGCATTGGATTCTAGTTCTATTTGTCTGATGTAGACTGTTTTGTTGTTATTTTTTTTAATCTCAGTTGGTGGTGCCATACCTTTGCTTTCTAAGGAACCTGCTGCAGCCACAAAAAGTCACCGGTTAAACCAAGGAAAGATGCCTCATAACCCTTTGGATTCCAGTGCTCCTTTGGTAAAGAAAGGGAAGCAGAGAGAAGTCCCTAAGGCAAAGAGACCAACACCTCTTAAAAAGGTGCTCATATTTTTACCTTAACTAGTACAGTGTAGGCTGATGCAACTTCAGTATTACTCTCTGAATCTATTAAAACATCTGGTATGCAGATCTGCATCTCAGCATCTGCTTGGCTAAAATCAATTTTAGCTTTCCTTGGTTTAAAAAAGGGGACGCGGGAGCCTGGGATGACAGGGTAGTCTTGCTGAATGGCCTATAAGTATTCCCCCAAAAATATATTTTCTCACTTATATCACTTAATGGCTGAAGAAGTGCCACTACAAAAGTGTCCACACATTATTGGTACAGGGGGACATCAAAAAAAGTCTTTGGACAAGATATGCTTATTTGCAGGACTGGGGAGAATGGATTGAACACAGTAGTGATAGTAGGTAGTATTTTTTGATGCTTCTATGCTCTTCCAAGTCAGAACTTCACTCAGCTCTTCAGCAACTAGTGTTAGATCCTCCTGGCAGTTTCTCTTGGGTCTTACCTCTTTGCCCACTCACATTGCTTCCTGTCATGTCTTCTGTACAGAGGATTTTGAGATACCACTCCATCACTACTTTTTGTTCTAGAACAATTCTTAAGGAGATAGAGAAGGTAGTTTAGAAGTCATTCTGTACTACTTAATTGAATTTGAGAAGTGTACAATAAAAATAACATGTAACAGACTCTGGGGAGTGATACTTAGAGGACTCTTCTGGCTGTTATGTCTTCATGCCATCTGTTTTCCACAGTAGGTCTGAGAAAAGAAAAGACTGCTTTGTCTGTGTACTATCTGTATTCTGAGTATGGTAGAGTGCTTATTTTTGTTCTTTGTTCATCTTTGACAAATGCCCATGGTGAAATTTACTTGTGCAATTAGATACTGTGGTGTAATTAATTACAGATTTTGGGTAGATTAGCTGAGCTAGCGGTCATAGTAACTGCTTCTTAGCAGCTATGAAAACAGAGAAGGAAGATGAGTTTTAGGAAACTGATTATTGCTTTAACAATGGTAGCATGCTTGGATCCACCATATGTCCTAACTTCCCCCTTCCTACTTCCCCTCCCCACTTCCTCCTTCCCACTTCTCCCTTCCCTCTTCCCCCTTACCCTTTCATGTCCTATATGGGTTAGCTAGCCATGGTAATTTCTTCTCTTTTTCTTCAACCAACAAATTCAGAAACAACAACCTATTAGAGTGATTTTTATCAAGGGAATAAGAGTGAAGAGTTATTGTGTCTGTGTACAGATAAATATATATATGTGTGTGTGTATGTATCTACTTGTGTGTTTGGTTGTATTGCTACAAATTAGCAGTCTGAAGAAGAAATACAAAAAGGTTGACTTTTTCACCTGCTACTCTGTATTAAAGCAAATTATTTCTTTAACTTTTGTTTTGCCCTTGTAGTTGACCCCTAGTAATTATTTTGTCCATCATGACACTGGTAATCAAGGTTAAAAGTATTTTTCTTTGTAGATTATATATATATATATAGATCATTCTGAAAGAAAGAGAGCAAAGAAAACAGCAACACCTGCTAGAACAGACAGCAGTACCAAAAAATGAAGAAAATACTTGTCAGTCTGCAGAAAATACTACAGAAGATGAAACGCTTCTACAGGATACTCAAGCAGGTATCTTTGAAGGGACGTCTACAATACAGTACGTAGATGATGATTTGGGAGTACTTTCAAAAATGTGTATTGAATACTACCAAATGAAAGAAGTAACTTCGGGATCTTCTCAGATTCAGCTTGGGCTTATCTAGAGTTTAAAGTGTGCCAAAGCTGATAATCAATGTATTTGAGGGATTCTGATTACTGTTCCACACGTTTATGCCTGCTGGGTCCTGGTGAGAATCCCTGCATCTCTCTCGCAATCTGTTCAAGAAGAAGTACAACAATAAAACCTAAGAGATAAAGAATGTATTATATTTTCCCCTACTGCCACAGACTGTTGAAATACTGAAGAAATTACTCTTCAGGAGATACTTGACAAGTTATTCTCTTCACAGTGCTTTTTAGTCTGTCTTTCTATTGAAATACCTTTATTTACATTTTCCAGTAACACAAGTTGCTGAAGGGTTTCCGGAGAACACAGGGATCAGCGAATCTACAGAAGGTTCTATTACTTCAAAGCAGCCGACCTCCAGTCTTCCAAAAATCCATAGTAGGAATTTTAGAGAGTAAGTATTGATTGTATTGATACATGTTTTTTCACAGTACCACCGATACAGCATTTTTCAAACAAGATACTTGCATTCTGTGCAAGACTTAACTGTAGTTTAGACTGAAGACTTAATTGTAGTTTAGGCTGAAGGTTTTAGGGTTTTTTCTCAGTTTTTTTGTAAGCTGGCACAGCAAAATAATACTCAGAGAAATAGTCTATACATTGTTGTAATTCTTATTTCAAAATATTTTTCTTAGTGGAAAAAATAAATAACTTAATTTGAGGCTAAGGAAGGAAAAGGAGCTGCTGTTGAAGTACCTTATTTTAAATAAGTGTAGTACAGGCTTAATGTTTAAGAAAAAGAGTAGTACACCTTACTTAGTCTGTACTTTGGTTTTCCACTGCCAGACCAAAAGGCAAGTATGTAAAGAATGTGACTAGCCAGATGACACTTTCATACTGTGGCTGGGCAGAGAAGTAGAGGGGAGATTTATGGGTGATTATGTACAAACATGTTCAGTTTTGTTTAAACAGATAGGTATGCATATTTCCTTATAAAAGAAGAAATAGTCATTACTATATGTGAAGAGGTGAAGAGATCCAGTCATGACAGTTACTTTAGGTAAACTGTTTTAACTTTGTTTTCCTCCCATAAAGGCACCACTGGCCTTTTTGCAGTTCATATTATAGTAAAGGTTAACATTGATACAGACATTCTTTATCTTCTTCATGCCATGTGTTAGCTCTAATTTAACTTTGAATTGCATTAAAAATGACTTATGTCCATATAACACTGTGTTACTGAAAGCATGGTTTGGATTGAATATGTACGGGGCAACCTGTCAAAGGAAGTAAAGCATTGAGCAAAGCTTGAAATATCTTTAGATTTTCAGTGTCTAGTATACTTGTATTTGAGACTTAGTGAGAGCAACTGGAAATAGTAGACGAAAACTCTTGTAATTTAAATAAAACTTTTAAGATAACTGTATCTCTAGTATCCAGATCTTGTGGTCTCTTCTCATAATGTTATGTGAATTTGCCACGTGGTATCTTTCTGTTGACTGTGCAGTTGAGATTTGAGATTTTTTTTTTCTCTTTAAGACCTGAACAGTTCTTTGTGTTAAAAATTGGGTGGGTGGCTAAATAATTTAGAACCGTGACCTTTCCAAGGGAATACTAGAAGGTTGAGGTACATCCATTTTTATCTTTATCCTATGATAAGTATATTGTAGTATTGATAAGTGAAATAGGATGACAGACAAAAAATATGAACCAGGGGAAGACGAATTTATTCAAATTTCCATCTTTGTTATAAGTAGGCTTGTATTTGTAGAAATAGAGTTGTATATTTTGGTTGCTGTACTTATATTATATAGGTTAAAATAAATGCCTTCAGGAAATAGCTTCAATAGAAAAACATGTATAAATATTTATTGGTAGGTTTATGGTATGTATGTATATGTATATCTATTTTTAGTATAGTTTGATGGGGGCCAGATACTACAAGTAACAAAATTTTGTGTAAGTTCTCAGCAGCTGAAAAAGAAATCTTCTGTAGATTTTTCTTTTCATGTATGTAAGTGTGTTTGCAATGGAGATTGAAAAAAAAGACACATAATAGAGGTAAACTATGTATTTTATATATTACATATTAGTGTCACATACTTGTAATTGTAGGGATTTTAACACTGAATCGATTTATTTATTCCAGGTATTGCAGCCAGGTACTTAGTAAAGAAGTTGACAGTTGTGTGACAGATCTGTTAAAAGAACTGGTGCGCTTCCAAGATCGCTTATATCAGAAAGACCCGGTAAAGGCCAAGATAAAACGCCGGCTTGTTATGGGTCTTAGAGAAGTTCTGAAACACCTGAAGCTGAAAAAACTTAAATGTGTCATCATCTCACCTAACTGTGAAAAGATTCAGTCAAAGGGTAAATATGTTTAATAATACATATATGTTCATTTAATAAAAGAAGTAGGAAAAAACAGAACATGTTTGAGTAGCCTTTGAAATCTAGTCATAAAAAGATGCCTGCCTTCAAATTTTTACTGCTCTGTGGCTGAAGTGTGAGCTGGGCCAAGACTATGGGATGGCGGAAGTCTGAAACTAGGATCTCTTTGCAGTGCAGCTGCATGAAAGATTGCACTGGCAAAGCTGAGAAGAGACAAAGGTTAATGATGCCAGCTGTGCCACCACAAGAAATCTTGCTATGTATCAGTTTCTTTTAGGTAACAGACTGACAATAAGTTGTCCGTGATTCTTTAAAACTTGTTTAAGTATTGTCATTACCTTCTTTTAACTTCTAATCATCTCTTAGCAGCTATGTTGTATTTTTACTACTAGATTAGACTATACTACATAAAAAACAAAATACAGAATAGTAGCCATTTAAGGACACTGCTAATTAGGAAAAACATGTCAAATTCTCCTCTTACAATGGACATCTAACACTATTATTGAGATCCATGTCAATATTTTCCCTGTGTAATGCATGTAATTTCAGAATGCACCTGTAATCTTGGGGTATTTTTTGCCATCTTTTAACAGTACCATCTTTTAGTTATCATCAGCTTGAATAGTGTAAATCTTTGTTAATTCTGTGTCCTCTCCAGGTGGGTTGGATGAGACTCTACACAACATTATCAACTGTGCCTGTGAACAGAATATCCCATTTGTTTTTGCCCTTAATCGCAAGGCCCTGGGCCGCTGTTTGAACAAAGCAGTGCCTGTGAGCGTAGTGGGGGTTTTTAGTTATGATGGAGCTCAGGTAAGCTGAAATATGTAGGCTCCTGGTTTTGATTTTTACTTTTTACCTGTAAGGCAGGAAGAAAAAATACTCTGACTTTAAGGTTTTGTTTGTTTTGCTTTTGCACACTTACATTCTTGGTCCCAGGCTTATATAAAAACTGACTTTAGAATTATAGCCACTCAGCACTTTTCAAAAACATAGTTTGTCTATCTATTCCTGACATCCTCTCCATCTGTATCTCTTTCCAAAATGTTTTTTTCTAAGAGAATTGGTGTTTCCATAAATGCTTATAAATTGTTTGGGTTTTGTGTCTTTATACATACTTAGCAGCTCCTTTTCCATATGAACATACATGTTCTGAATAAGGAATATTCTTTACAGATGGAGATTTTAATTCATGGAAATGTTGAAATTTCCTGTAGGATTTAAGCTCTCCTAATATTTTGTATTACCATAGGATCATTTTCATAGGATGGTACAACTGACAACAGAGGCCAGGAAGGCCTACAAAGATATGATAGCAGCTTTAGAGAAAGAAGCTGAAGGAGGACTAAGAGAAAGCCAACCCAGTATCTTAACCACTGACTATGAAAAAAATGGCTTCTCAGAAATGGGTAAAATGTCTTCCAAGCACTGTGATGAGGATGTACCAAATTATAGTAAGTATTTACTCACTTGTTTTTTGGTTGATTGCAAAACATTCTACAGTTTTTCCATTCTCAATGAAACAGATGACACCTGACATATTAGTGATTAATAAGGGGGGAAACAACACTTTTCTGTTATTTCTCCCTGCTCCTCTAATTTTAAAAACCTGAGGTGAGCTTTTGCTGAGAAAGTCTTACATAAAGTTCCTCTCTGAAATCCACTGATGGCAGGTGGTACTCATTGCTTTGTCCACTGAGGTTTGACAGATTTCCTTATTATTCCTGTTTGTTAAAAAATTACCCAAGTTTTCTTCTAGAAGTTTATCGTCTGTAACTATGGCAGACTTAAGTTTTGTATTCAAGTCTGTTGGAGATACATCTTCTCGTCCATAAGTATTCTAGTTTTGTAAAGGCCTTCCGCTTCTAGAAACATATTCTTCCAGCTCCACTCGTACAATCACCAGACAACAACAGTCACAGATACTCTATGAAACTTTTGAAAAATTCAATTTTTTTAAAGTTGGATCCACCTTCAGGGTTAGTCTTACTTGAGTAGGGTTTGGATGTAAGTACCTCAGTGGATCCAGTCAGTCCTGAAGTATTCTTCATGCATCATCTGATGTTGCATGGTGTACACACCAACATGTTCATGTGCCAATTTATCTCAGCATTTACTTTGAGGAGGAAGTAGAGAATTGCTGTCACCTTTTATTTTAAGTTTTTCCTTAAGTATTATACAGTAACCTATTTGTTGGGGTTTATTTTTGTGTTTTCTCTTTTAATTCTAATATTTCCTAGTTAAAATCTGGAAGAGAAAACTTGAAGAGGAGTATAACCCATATGCACTGGAACTGGAAAAGAATGCCACTGCTGACACGGTGATTACTAATTAAGAAGAGCATCAGTAAATCCAGATCCAATACTTCTGGGCTTCAATTTTTCTTTTTAATTTTTTTTTTAGACCTCTAGTAAGAGGGTAGCAAAACAAAATAATTTAAAGAAATATCTGAACTCAGCTAGGTAAATTGTTCTGGGTTTCTTTAAGCAAAATACACACTGGAGCACATGAGGCAGTGGCTGATGCTTTTATGTTCTGTGTATTTGGGTGATCACATAGCAGATGACAACAGCAATTTGTTTTAGCCCCAAACCACTTAAACTTGTTTGGCATATTTTAATGGTTTTATGGACTACCATTGATTTGTTAGTGATGAAATACCAAAATAGCTTGCTAGACAGGTAATTTTTTGGGAGGGAGAGATTCTATGAGCCAGAAGGTTGGGGCTTGTGGGGAGTTGCTTTCTATTTTTAACTCTTATTTAAAGAACGTAAACACACTTTTGTTGTGGGTTTGTTTTTAGTTTTTTCTTTTAAATAAACCTGCTCAGGTGGGCAGGCTGGCATAAATGTCTCTTTATTCCACTCAGCAAGAAATTCATTCTGGCCAGCCAGCTTTATTGAAACTAATTAAGGAAGACTATGATGATGAAGTCCCCAGTTAGCTCTTACGTATCATACTGTGTTCTTCTGGGATCATATAGCAGTTGTAAAGGGGAAGGAGCATGGACTGCAAAGGTCTGAGATTCTTGGAAGTGAAAATGCTCTGTTAGGTATTTCATGAAGCTGGTTACATGTACAATTATAATTTTGCTGCTACTGAGACTAGTTTATCATATGCCCTGCTTTGAAGTTAGATGATACTGAAGGACAACAAATGTGTGAACCTGTTGTCCTTTCTTTACTTTCTCTATGCTGACTCCTCATTCCTTCAGTTTTGGGGTTGTGTTGGTGGCTGTATGTCAGAGATCTTGATCAATCTCCATTTGTATCTAAGGTAGGGAAAACTTAGTATGTTATAATGCAATAAAATCTGTCTTACAGGAAATTAGAAATTTATATCTTACAGGAAATAAAATTTTAAAAACAAAATGTGCTTATAATGGTGGGAATGTCCTATTTAAAAACTTATTTACACGTTGGAGATCCAAGAGGTCAAGCCTAATGAAAGTAATAGAAGGATGCACATGTAGCTTGTCAGCTGTTCTGAAGGTTGATACAGATGCCCTGTCCTGTTGACAGCATCTCTGAAATGTGTCTCTTAAATGCTTCACACATTGAACATTCGTAGTTCAGTACTTGGAAAGGTAGCTGCCTTGTGAAGTAATAAGCAATACAAAAACTTTAGTTTTGAAATTCAAACCATTTTGTAGAATGTAAATTGTATAAAATCTATTACAGTATTTTGATTCTATAAAGTATGGTTGTGACTTAAGTAGACTATTCTGGTGGGCATTTGATACTAGAAATGTCAGTTTTGAGGAAGCATGTTAATAAGGGAAACCAGTCTTAAGCTGAAATGCACAGTTGGTCACTAATTATAGTGATGATTTTTTGGATTAGATTCTTTTAAGGGGAAATTGAGGGTGAAAGATTCCAGTGATGAAAGATGGTTTTGGCCAGCAGGTACTCATGATCAAGAGGTAAGTTATGATTTATTCATACTTGTGCCATTTCAGTACACATCTGAAACTCTGAAACTGCTAAACCTAGTCACTGTATGGAATGGGGATCAGTTGGTGAAGGTTCCATTAACAGATTTTTTTTGGCCATGTTTTCTCTGTTTCGTCTTAGTCTAGAAGAGCATGAAAAGTTACTGTGGAAACGCTGTAGGTTATTCAAAATCATAGGGATTTGTTTTCTGTCCGTAGAATTTAGCAAAAAAAATTCAATATAAGGAGTCATAGATATGTTCACCAGTTCTGTTACATGGAGTTCTTTTCACAAAGTTGAGCTAAACAAAAAAATACAGCAGTCTCTTTTTATTACTTACAGTGCTTTGCTGCAGACACAAGGCAAAGCTCAGCTGTGTTCATCTAAAGTCTGACCTCAGTCTTACAAAGCCTTACCTTCCCACTCAGCACCAGAGAACTAAAGCCAGTTTCAGATGTATTAAATAAATGGAAAATGGACAATTCAAGAAAATGTTTTTTATAATTGTCCTTTAGCCATAAAAGATGTTGTAAGAGAAACACAAGGAGGAAAAAAATCCCCTCTGAACATTAGTGTCAGAAGTCTGCATCAGCATTGAATTATTATTGCCAATGTGAAAAATAGGGAAGAACTTCAACTATGCCTTACACAATTCTTTATTAGATGCAGAAGGGATAAAACTCTGAAGAGCAATGCAGTAAAACAATTTCAGGGTGGCTTAAATAGGCACATTTTCACTGTGAAGGTTTTAAATGTGAATATGCATACTTGATGAAATTAGTCTTAGAATTCATCCAACATAGATTTTTTTTGATCTACCACAGTTGTCTCAAGTATAGAAGAATAATTTGCAAAACCTGAAGAGTCTGCTTTAACTTGGGTGCATTGTAATCTGTCTGTATTTTAAGTATTAGTCAGAAGTTTTTTATTTGGTTGATGAACTTTACAACCAAAGGAGATGTGTTTGAACAAATGAACTTGCTCACACCAGAAAGGAATGTTCTTCAAAACACTGGGAATAGAGTATAAGGGTAAACACATTAAAGGAAAAAAAATGTTGAAGTGTCTTTACTAATTAGATCACATTTATTTAATCTAAATCATATGCCAAGATTCTCAAGCGCAAAATTAATGTGTTTGCTTAATCAATTCAAAACAGAAGCCATACATTAAATTATATTATTTGAGTAGTACAAATCATACTGAGGCCACTTTTTTTCCTCATTAAGCAGAAATAACTGGCTTCTGGAAACCAAAGAGCATTCCAGCATGGGATGGATGGCCTCCCTTGTAGCATGTAACTTATTCTTTGGTGCAGTAAGGATATTCTCTTCCACCTGCATAGCAGTTTCAATGCCAGCACTACCACTCATAAGAACCTCTTTGAATGCTCTGATACTAAGAGTACTGGGTACTCTAACTTGCATGCTCCTTCTAGCTTTTTTGTTCCTTCATCCATTAGAAGCTGCTTTTCTTGTTACAGGTCTCCTGAAGAAGAAAAGATCAGAATGATGTCTTAATACTGCTTTAAAAATTGAAGTGGGGTTTAAAGGTTGCCAGTGTTAACTGTTCCACATGCAACAAGCATGTGTCCTAAGAAGAAGTAATCAAAAGTAACCTTTTTCTAACTGTTGGAAAAAAAGCATTAAAAGCTAAGTACAGACCTTTTTTTTTGTTTTTAAATGAAGGCCAGCTTTGATGGGCAGAGCTATTTATGAAGTCCAGTAGTCTCTGTAATCTGGCTAGTCTGCAGCTGTGGTTAATCTACTTTATTCAGAATACACAGACTTACTGTTCTGAGCAGGACGAGAACTACGGACTGATTAGTACTTGGTCAGTGGACTGAAGGAGCAAGCTGACATAACCATAATATATATCATAGATTGAACAGACATGACTGCTGAGAGGGTCAAGCATGATGTACAGGAACACTAATCACTTTGTTATGCAAATATACTTAGTTGCAGAAGTGTCATAGGCTATTTATAAAATTGGGTCTGTAGTGCATCACGTAGAAACCACTGTAGGAGAGGTCTTTTCCAAAAATTCTTACCCACGTTTTTCTCCAATTTTGCATCATCTTGTCATGCTCACTGATGGCACTTCTCCAGTTATCAAATTGTTTGGTCCATTCATCCTGACCAGCACTACCTGAGGATGGGACATGGGATGATTACATAGCTATGTAATGGTGAAGTAAGTTGATGTCTATTCAGTCACAGGAGTTTTTGTGGAGGATTGGGCCAGAGGGAACCAAAGCCACCATCTTGTCCTTCATTTTGCTCCACCTCTTCATGTTACCTGAAAATAAGTTCTATTCAGATGGTCATGTCTGTTCTCTGCAGCAAACTTCATAGCCCCTAGAGTAAACGGATTAAGTGCCTTTACCTGTGATATGAGAGCTACAAAATACAACCTACAAGTTAAGAGGTCAGACCCATCTAAGAAGCACAGGCACACTCCAATTAGATCATTCCAAACCTGTAATGTAGCAGACTATGTCCAGTTTGTAATTCCCCCCATTTTTAGGTAATACTAGGTAGTTATGCTTTATTCCATTGAGAACTTAAAAAGGGCTGTTTACAACATCTTGATGAAATTCTATTTCTAATTCTGGCTCCCAGTTTTTATTGCAGAATGTAACACTGGTGGTGACATGCACAGATTAAATACTTTATCATTTGGGACACATAACAACAGCATAAAATGCTTTTGGAGCACAGTGCAAGTCTCCCACTGTTTTTCATGTACAGTAGTTTCATTGAGATGCTCTTCATTCTGCATCAGAGACAAACTTCAAAGTAACTGGAGGAGTAGCATGACAACTTGTGTAACTCCTAAAGCTTTTCTCTGTCATGGAAAAAGAAGGGTTGAACTATTCTTGATAAATTCATGTTTGCTATTAACCAGGTAATTAATAATAATTCACTTTTTCCTTCACTCTGCCATGAAGAATCCATACTGTATCATCTTCATTGCTCTGACTATCTGTTTTAAGATTATCCAGACCTTCTCCAGACCTGGATAAGTCCTTAAAAGCTAGGTACAAATGATGATCAAGTTACAATTAGTAATCAGTACTGGAAGATCTTGCACAGCTGCTGAATTTAAGCAACCTGTCCAGTTAATGTCCAAATGAAGAGGTGGGAACTGACCTCACCCTACAACAGGTGATTTACAAACTGTCCTATTTTATTTTTTTTTTAAGTCCTGTCTGGTTGAGGTTTCTGTTACTTCCTTAGAGAACTTCTCTGCGTTTCCCTGTTAGAATTCTGAAAGAGTTAAAAATAAACTCTTCAGTACTCATATGACCTCCAATTTCTGCCCATTAGTTTACTAGTTTTAGTTTAACTTCTAGATTTTAACTGCTAATTTGCAGGTTATTCCTTTGTGGAGCGGGTGG